GCTCTATCACTTGAGCCATGCCACCGGCTCTTGGTTCAAGCTTTAGAAAGTTCCACACATCTGAGGCTCCAGGCTCATGTCCCTCTGTTTACATTTATTGCCAAAAAAAAAAAAAAACTCAGCTGACCAGGCAAAGCATGCAACATATACTCGTTTGCCCCCCTTAGAAGTAATAGCAGATATTTTCTAGGTATAGAGTAGGTGTTTATATACTTAAGAATCAGAATTGCACCTGTTCTTCTGTTATGGAATGATATTTCTGGGTTATCTTGGTGACACAGTTTGGTTTTTACAATGAAAAGAGGAGTCTACACAATCTCAGGCCTGGTCATAATTATAATAACATTGACAATAATAATAGCTGTGATTTATTGAACACTTACTATTGCCAAATTCTCAGCTACATTTTTTATGTCTAATATTGATCCTACAAGATAGGCATTTAAGTATAAACCCCAGGATAAGAACATAATTTAGAGAAGTGAAAGTAACTTGTTTGAGATTCAAACCCAGGTCTGTGACTCTGGAGCACTTACCTTTTCTGTTATGTTCTTGGTCCTGAAGTGTGGGTAGGGTGGAGTATAGCAATAAAAAATTAATTAGCTGCCACTTAAAAAGTTTGTGCTTTACATATATCACCACTAACCCTCACATTAATTCTGCAGAATATGACTTGAATGCTTATCTTCAGAGTTGTGGCTGACTTAGGATAACTAATGCTTCTCTGTCTGTTGGTGGGGAGTGGAGGCAGGCCATGATTTAAGTTTCTTCCCTTGATAGTTGCACAGACCATTTAGGAATCAGTTAGTCCCTAGGGCTTTAGTGAGGGAGTAGGGGTGACTTGAGAATTCCACCTGAAGCCTTTTGGTTTGGGGATTGTCGTTTCTGTTTGGTCACTATCTTGTGTATCATGGTTTACTGTGGGTCAGATACAAAGTATACTATGTAGAAGTAATTAAGTGATGTATAGCGTGTGGAAATCCTTTGGGTTGGGTCTTTTTCTCTGAGAAAAGTCTGCCTTGGGAGTACATTTGGGCTCCTCAGGCTTCACGCAGCTAGATGAGTGGAGACACCAATACCAACAAAAGTGAGCTTTTGGAAAAAAAAAAAAAAAAAAACCCACAGAAGTTCCTGGCGGAAGTTTGGCTGCACAATCAGATCTCATAATTAAAGGTATTAAAAATATTTTCTGAGGTGGTTCACTCTTTGGAGTGCTGTTATTAGCAGATTTAAAGGCAGGATGGTGAGATAGAAACAGAAAATGTTACATAAGGCAAGTTGCCCCAGCTTAATGTTTATCTCCACTGAAGAGCCTACTGCCCTATCTTCAGGGTAAAAATGTGTGAATAGGACCAAAAGTGGTGATTTTAATTAGCCACTGGAATGCGTTAGCCTGGTCCCTAAGAATACTAAGTATCCCATGTTCTGTATATATTGGAAGAAAATTTTAGAACTTGGGGTTTCATAGTGAAGATAGGTAAGTAGTGTCTGGACAGTGTCCAAAGGACAGACTGAAACCCTGAGATAAATACAAGTAGGCCGGACGGTTCTTCCTGATAACTGAACATAGCCAGAGTGCAGAGAGGGTGGTGGGAGGGGTATGTGTCTGGGGTTGAGGGGGAATCACGATAGCAGGTGTTAGTGCCCATGGTGGCCTTTTAAAAATGGGTACAGCTCTGGGTATGAACTTGATGTTTGAGGAGGGCATAAAATTACATCCAGTTTAACTCATTGAATGTCTCCTTGGAAACTGGTACTACATCAAAAAGATCAAGTGGAGGGGCTGGTAGTGTAGCTCAGTGATTGAGTACTTGTCTGACATATTCATTCAAGGCTCTCTGAGTTCCATCCCTAGCTTTGGGCGTGGGGGATCAAGTAAATAGTTAAGACATTAATTCAGAAAATTCTAGTCTCAAAACTGCTTATTTCCTTCCATGAAATATCCTAATAATGATTTTTTAAATGGTATTAATTTTTTTTTTTTTTATGGTACTGGGGTTTGAACCTAAGGTTTCACGCTTGCTAGGCAGGTGCTGTATCATTTGAGCCGCACCCCCAGTTTCCCAAATAGTTTTCTTTCCTTATGAATTATCCAAATAGTTGCCTTAGTTCCATATTTCACAGTAAACTCAAACTGAGTGATGTTTCAAGCCTCCTGCTCACTTTCCTCTCTTTGTTTTGCATTTTCATTTTACTTAATATTTAAAAAAACAAAACAATTCCATTTAATTTTCTTCCATACTGTTGGTTTTACAGTATTGCTGTAGGTCTCCAGGAGTTTTTACCTTTCACGTAACTGTTTTAGGGCTTCTAACCAGCATTCATTTCTAAATCAAGGACTGGTTGTTGATTTAATCCTCGATACTTTTGCATCTGAGTCTTCATTGGGTGCCCTTTTCTTTTGTTTCCTCCTCCTTTCCTATAGTCTATTCATTTGGTGACATGGGAAGGTACAATTTACCTGTTGTTTTTCAGACAGTCCCATTAACAGCACTGATTTGCCATGTAAGACTACACCTATTTATGATATGAATAAATTTTAGCCCATAGATTAATAAAGTTTTAAGTAAGATAATTTTTAAGTAAAAATTGAAGCTTTGAGTTCAAGTATTCTTCTAAGCCTTTTCAGAAGAATAATGATTAGTTTGATCAGGTGCATCATTTATGTAAATCTGAGAAGTAAGCCTGGAATTAACTTATGAAAATGTCACGGCCTGATCATTTTAGAACCATCTTCAAGCTGGTATTGGTGTGTATGCTGACTTTAGCACACTTGGGCTCTTAAGCTCCTAGTAGATAACTTCCTAGGTGAGCTAGTATACTGTTTCTTGAAATTAGTGTCCTAGATCAGGCCTTCTATCTCCAACCCTGTCCAATAAAGATAAGTTTACAGCCTCCTGTTTGAATAGGTGCATGTCCTCTGCTGAACTGAATTATCTGAATCGGTCCTGTTTAGCCTCCTCCCTTTCCAAGAAAGATCTTTTTTTCAGAATGAAAGGCTAGTTGATTTGGGCCATATTTTAGGCTTTATTACACTTAACCTTCAGGTGAAATTTGGCACTTGACTGTGGACATCATTTAGTAGATGCTCTTCGGCAAGATGGGAGAGGTTTATTCCAGTATTCTCAAAAATCAGATAATTCCTTGAATTGACTTGTGGGCAGCCATACTGAATAAGTGAGGTACTGTGTGTTAAGTTAGGAAGTGAGTTAAGTTTATTATAAATATTGCAGTTTTCTTTCTTTTTTGTGGTACTGCGGTTTGAATCCAGAGCCTTGTGCTTGTCTACCACTTCAGCCATTCCTTCCCAACCCTTTCTGTTCTCATTTTTAAAATAATTATTATTTTTAAATAATTCATTTATTCACATGTGCATACATTGTTTGGGTCATTTCTCCTCCTCAGTTCTCATTTTTAAGGTGCAGTTTTATATATATCCATGTTTTCTAATCAGATTTTAAAAATTAATTGTTGAATCTGTGGAAATACGCCTGGAATTTTATCTCTTGGTTCCCTGGGTTTGCCCTGTGATGTGAGCAGAGATAATTTTTGCCTGACATCTTTGTTATCTGCCCTGAGAGTCCTTGTTCTTTTCACTGACCACCAATACCTTGTTTTTCTTTTTCTTTTTTTTTATTGTTTTATTATTCATATGTGCATACAAGGCTTGGGTCATTTCTCCCCCCTGCCCCCACCCCCTCCCTTACCTTGTTTTTCTAATTGCTTTGTTTTATGCTCATGATTCTGCCTTAAGCAGGATCATAAAGCTTTCAAAAAGTTTCCCCCACCCCAGGCTATTACCTCATGCGTCTGTGTTGGTCAAGAAGGAAGAGTAGAAACCATCTTGATTTTGTTGTAAAATCATATGTGGACGATTTTACAACTCTTGAAAACCCCATTAGTCAGTAGTTTCTGGAATGATAATTTCAACTACCAAGTACTGAGAGTTACTTTTTAAATCTCCCTGTTTTCTTCCTCTAAACAAAAGCACTTTTGCTGAGGGAAAAATTTTATTTTTTGTTGGCACATGGCACATAATTTTTAACTTGAACCTTTAGATTTCTGAATAGGCAAAGCTCTTTGCCTCTAGTTCCTAGCTATTAACTCTTCTGAAAAAAAAAAAAGGGATAACTTTTTGAAAGGGTTTCCTGATAATGCTCTTTGGACTGTTGCCAGGTTTTGGCAGATGAGGGCACTTCCCCTGATCATTCAGACTACTTCTGAGTTTTGAACCTGAGACATCCAGCATCAGAATCCCAGGGCTGTGGTTTTTCTTATCCCTGCTGATCCTAGCTGCTCTATCCTTTCTCTTCTTTTCTTTTTACACCCATTGGACATCGTCTACTTCTCTTCCCAGTCTGTCACTCATCTGTGCTTGTTTCCCAATATCAGGGATTTTTAATCCTTGCTGTGTTTTAGAAACACTTGGAGAGCTTAAAAAATACCAGTGCCTAGGTCCAGTCCTAAAGCAGTTAGGTCAGGATCTCTAGGTGTGGGGCCTGAGTATGTGTATAAGTGTATATAAATATCTCGTTTGTTTTTCTTGGCAGTACTGGTGTTTGAACTCAGGGCTTTGCACTTGCTAGGCAGGCACTGTACCACTTCAGCCATTTTTAGTTATTTTTCAAATAGGGTCTTGCTTTATACCCAGGCTGGCCTGAACTACAGTCCTCCTGTTTGTGCTTCCCCAAATAGCTAGGCTGAAAGGTGTGCACCACAACACCCATCCATTGGTTGAGATGGGTTCTCATGAGCTTTTTGCCTTGGCTGGCCTCAAGCTGAGATTCTCCCAATCTCTGCCTCCCAAGTAACTAGGATTATAGGTGTGAACCACCCTGCCTAGCTCTGAGCATCCATCTATTGATCTATCGATCTATCAGTCATCTATCTACCTATCATCTAACAAATTTTTTGTGATTCTGGGGTTTGAACTTAGGGCCTACAGCTTGAGCTACTCCACCAGCCCATTTTTTTGTGATGAGTTTTTTTGAGATAGAGTCTCATGATCCTCCTGACCTCTGCCTCCTGAATAGCAATGATTATAGGCATGAGCCACCAGCACCTGGCTGATCATCTATATATTTTTTTAAAGCTTCCCAAATGTTTATAATGTATAGCCAGAGTTAACAACCATCATCTTAGAAAAATTAGAGAGTCTTTGTGGAAGTTACCAACTATTTCAGTATTGACTTTGAACCTGTTTCACCCTTCTCCTCCATGGAAAGATTACAAGGTGGAGTTTGCCCCCTGGAAGCTCTGTATGAAAAGAAGTGCTATCGAACTGGGACCTAAGAGTACATTTGGCTTCTAAGACAAGGGCATCATTCCTTAATAAACTATACTTAACTAGGATCTCCTCCTCTCCTTTCTTTTGTATAATTACATGTGGTTTATTTAAAGTTTCAACTCCCACTTGTTTTTCTAGCCTCCACTGGACCCTAGTTAACTTATTTTGAAGTTTGCAGGAACTTGTAAGAGGAGATGGTACTGTTGAAAGACATTACATAAGATTTGAAAACTGAGATGCATTAACTTACCGTCCTTTTGGGCAGTATACTAGAGGGTTCCACTATATTCTGATGTATTAAGCTAGTAATTCTCGAAGTGGGATCCACAGACTAGCAGCACCAACATGGCATTCTCAGGCCCACTGTAGACTCACTAAATCTTAAATTCAGACTCAGAAATCGGTTTTTAACAAGCCTTCTAGGAGGTTCTGAGGCAAGCTGAGGTTTCAGAACCACTCTTTTTAAGTCATTTTCTAATTGTGTAGAATTCTTCTGGTAGCAGACTAGGTGTCAAAAATTATCATTCTTGTGCCACCTTGGCTTCAGAATCCTGACAGGAACAGGGGAAAACTAACAGACATCTTGTGGTAGGAACTGTTGAAATGTAACAGAGCCTTGCCTCTTGAGTATGCTAGACTGCTTTCAGGTCCTTGTTGCCTTGTTGCTTTCTGTACAAAGCAAGGTGTACACAAGCTCCTTCCAGGATGACAATTACAGTGAGGTGCAGAGGAAAGCAGTTGTTCATCTTAGGGTGTATAGTGTATTCAGAGGGCTTGTGTTTAGGTTGGACTCTGGTAGTTTTGTGATCTTTCTCCCTTGTATGTGTGGTTTTGGTCTTTTGGGAATGTCCCTAGTTTTGAGACCAGCATCAGACAGGGGAGTAGCTGCACTGACTCATCCCCAGACGGACGTGGAACATGTGGGAGAAAGATAAGATTAAAATGTGCTGGGTGTAATCGGAGTGAAGGGGATAGTGATGCAGCGCTTGTGATGAAGTGAGAGTCAAGGCGACAGTGATCAGGTGACATCCACCTTGGCTCAGGATCTGAAAAGGTGCCTGGTCTCCTCCACCACAAGGTGAATCCAGGAATAGATCCAAATGAGTTTTTGCTGCTTGCCAGTATCGTTGGGTTCTGTAGTCCATTAAGCAAGTCCTCATGGTCAGCCATATCAGACATAGCTGATGGCTTTAGGAATATAAATAGTGCAACGAACAGTGGGTTGGCCAGTACTGGAAGTTCATTTCAGGACCTCCTAGCAGCTGCTTCAGAACATTGCCTAAGACTCACAAACACGCTTATATTTAACACTTTAAAAAAAAAAACAACAAAACCCACCAATATTAGTTTGGATTACAAATTCTTCTGTCAGTGGCTTCTTACATAAAGCCATATCTGAGACAATATGGCTTGAGTGCTCAGCCTCCAAAGGGCAGCAATTCAGGTTTTCTTTACAGGGGAGTGGGAAGGGCAGGCAGGTCACTCTTCTGATTCACCACGATTCTTGGAAAGGGTCAAGAAGTTGAGTTTAGGTGTTGGAATACCATTAGAAGTCTGTGCAGAAGGACAGCTGCACTGAGTCTTCTGTCTGGGGCCAGAGTATGAAGAAAATCCTAAAAAGTGTGTCATTAAAACTGCAGGAAGCATTCACAGTTGAACTCCAGGAGGGCAATAAGAACTTTTAAAGATCAAAAGTCATTTGGATAGGGCTGGTAGGGAACTTGAAGTGTTTGGGACAATGGAGTGCTTCCAAAGCTGAGACTGCTTACAGAGGAATTGTGCAAACTCATGGCAATAGCACTTTCATTTTGGTTTCCCAAAAGCATGGATCTCTGTTTGCATGTTTTGGGGATAAGAAGAACCTGGCATTAGGGGTTTTTGAAGGTTCCTTCAAAAACAATCAGGCTTATAAGAAAAAGCCTGCCTGGCAGCATTCTACAAGACTTGGCTCCCAGACCAGTAGGATCATGAGTCCTTGGCTCCTGTGGCCTCAGTTTGAAGATGGCAATGAGGGATCATCTGCTCAACCTTCTCCCCCTCGTTTTAGGGGACTGTAGAGGAAACCTGTGGTTTTGAAAAGAAGGTGCCTGTGCCCTGACTTCTCTATGCTCCAGAACTACAGAGAATTGTGGGTGAAGTTGGAAAGCTTTCATCTGCCCCACTCTACGAAGGCCAAACCATCACATCTTGAGTCTGAGCTGGTGTGAATGGGTATGATGTGTGTAGTCACAGCCTTCAGTTCATCCATCATTTTCATGACTGGAACTAAAAGGTCTTGTTAATTGGACATTTATTAGCAATCTGCCAGGTGCTATTAAGAGTTTAATAGCTCTTCTTTCCACATGAGGAAACTGAGGTACAGAATGGTTAAGTGATTTGACTGAGGCCATACAATTGGTAACAGAGGTGGGATGCAAAATGTCTCTACTTTGGTTAAATAAACTCTGAAGTCAATAATTTATCCAGCTTTAGGGATTTTGATTCTATTGTAATGCTGCTTGACACCTCACTGGTCTGATCTTTGCTTTCATACTTCTCATTCTGGTTTAAAAGAAGAGAAAGGAGGAGCATTTGTATGATCTTCTGTTGGAACGGAGATAGATGTGTTCACCTGCCTGTAGCTGCTTCAGAACCTTCAGAAAGAACAGTCTTGAGCATGAAGGTGCAGACAAGCATTTTTCAGACTTGCACTCTAGCTGATGTATGATTTTTCTTAGGGATGAGCCTCTCCAAACTGTCTATTTTCTCTGGGCTGCAGTGCAGATGTAAGTGATACTCCGAGAAGGGTGACCAGTCATCTTTTGGAGGTTCAGAAATGAGACACAAAGGTGATTTTACTCCAAACTTCATCTAAACTTTCCTGAGAAAGTAGGAGGCCTAACTGCATGCTATGACTTGGTGAATAACCACATCAAGCTTGGAAGCTCATGGGTCATTTGGGCTGAATTCTCATTCTGTTGTTTGGATCTGCTTCACATTATAGAACCAGGATATTGTGTATGGTAGTTCAAGCAGGTAAACAGATGTTGGATGATGGGAGCAGGAGGAAGAGAACAGGTTGTGGAGAACAGGGAAGCATCTCCCAGAGACTGGGAGATGGCCCAGTAGAAATGCTTTGTTAGAAGCTGGAGGGTTGTAATTGTGACTGTGATGGGGCAGTGGCAGGCTTAGGAGCATTAAGCCATTATGTAGTTTCTTCAAAAAACATTATCAGACAACACATATGTGCTCCCAGTTAAATGCTGTCACTAATGGCCACACTTCATAATTAAAATGCAAACAGAATTTGCTTTCAGTCATGGAACCACTGAGACTGGAGGAAAGTAAACCATTGCAGTTCTTCCTCTACTGGAAGGAAAAAGAGGAAGCAAAGTTATTTCGTATTTCTACAATAATAATAAAAAGGAACGGTTCTGTGTTTCTGGATGTGCTTTCCAGGGTTCAGAACTATGAGTCATTTCTTCTTTGTCCAGGTAGGAGAGACGTTCTATCTGTAAACTAAATCTCCCGAAGTCCTGGTATTTGGTATGTGAAGGCATGAGAGGGAAAAAGAAAAGGAAACTGCCCATGCCATCTTTCCCCTATTTTCACCGTTTTGTGAAAAATGACCTGCGGCTTGCTGCCAGCACTTTGTTAAAAGAATGTGGTTGTCTGGTATTTCTCATCTGTGAGAAAAATAAAAAGTGTCTCCATTTTTCCTTAGATTAATGAGAAAAATAAAGCTTTCTTGATATTTTAAAATGTAGGCTGCACACTCCAAGAAAAAGTCCTAAAAAACAATGTAGGCTATTTTTGGAATATTATATAAACAGTTTCAAATATATCTATGTATATAAACACACACACAAAATTTTTTTTTCCTGCACTCCTAACCCTGTCAGGAGAAAGGAGAAATCATCCCTCTTTCTTGGTTTAGCATAAGCCATTTATTTAGTAGCCACTTAAGCAAGTGGCTTAAAAAAAAAAAAAGTGGCTTAAAGCAGGCACCTGTAAACACACAGGGATCATCCATCCTAAACATCTTGTTTTCCAGATAGGGAAGCCCACCCAGGTGAAGCGTGTGCTGAGGACTGTCCTGGAAATCTTTGTATTTAATTGTAAGAAGCATCTTTTTCTCAGTCACAGATCAATAGCATTTTTAAAAGGGATTGGACTTTTAAAAATAAAAATTACGGCACGTTAATCCCTTTGGGTTTGCTATTTGTTTTCTCTTGGAGATGACAGTGACTCCTCCAGAGGATGCTAGCAGTGGGGTTCTTTATTTTCTGAGACAATTTTTAGGGAATGTTTAGTGTTTTGCTTTTCCTTGCTTCTTGTTTTTTTGTTTTTTTTGAACTCAGGGCCTACACCTTGAGTCACTCTTACCGGCCCTTTTTTTGTGAAGGGTTTTTTCGAGATAGGGTCTCACAAACTATTTGCCTGGGCTGGCAACTGCGATCTTCCTGATCTCTGCCTCCTGAATAACTAGAATTATAGGCGCATCTTCCTGATCTCTGCCTCCTGAATAACTAGAATTATAGGCGTGAGCCGCTGGTGCCGGCTCTTGATTCTTGTGTACGTGCCTATGAGAGAGAAGATGGCCAAGCCTGCCCCTGGCAAAGAAGTTGGGAAAGAAGTATGCTTGCCCATCCACGCCTGGCCTCCTGCCAGAGACTAGAGTTAGGTGTGACTGCCTTATGCTACTCCTGCCTCTCTGGGCCCGACCTCTTCTCCACTTTATGTCTCCATCTATCTCACCTGAGTCTGTTGCCTGAGAAGTTTTCTAGGGGAAGGACCAATCTGAGAGCAAATAAATTAATGATGGAACTCCTTTACTCTGGAACTGAATGCCTTGGGTGTCATTAAATTGCCTTTCTTCTGCCATGAGGAAACTAAGGCTCCGAGACCTGAAGAGACCTGCTTACCTGAAACACAGTGAAACTACTCTCTTAATTATGTGCTGACTCGGTGGTGGTCAGCTCCTTTACTTAGGAAAATCTTGTCTTACAAAGATCTGTCACGTGCCTGAGCCTGCCTGGGCCCAGCCTTCTCTTCAGCTCTGCTGTGGTGTTCCCCAGGGAGGGACAAGGCTCTTGACTTTATACTGCCCAGTTGGAGGCGTTCTATGGAAATGTCCTAGTGGCCAAAATACTACTTTCAAATCCTCCAGACCCTGAAGAATGACTGTCTGTTGTGCAGCCCCCTAATCCAGAGTCATGGGGCTTGAGTTTCTAAGTGGTTGCAACTTTCAGGATTGTGACTTTGGGAAAGAATTGCTGCATGTAAAGTTTCCACAAATTACTCTGTGCCGGAGGACTGGGCCCAGTTAGCTGGATCAATGGCCTTAATTGGCAGTCCACCAATCTTAATGCTGGGCAGCCCATGTACTAAATACTGTTGGGTAGATTTGAATATCATTCACTGGGAATTAGGCCCCCAGTGCAGCTTTCCGTAGCTATTTTAGTCTGATTGATAATGCTGAACTCTTCTTAGGCATTGGAGAAGTTTAGCAATCTTTGGAATGAGAAATTTCTTTTGCTTTGGCCTGAGAGCAACATTGCCACTTCTAGTCATTTTTAATGTTACAGGGAGATTTCAGTCTCTACACTGATTATTGAAAGGTTTGTGATAAATAGGATTTGTAATACTGTGATGAATTAACCTATGTGTGCTTTAAAGGTGAACTATAAATACAAACTGAGCATGGTCGTGCTCACCTGTAATCCCAGCACTAGGGAGGCAGAGGCAGGAGGATTGTGAGCTCAAGGCCAGCCTTGAACATAGTGAGGCTGTCTCTCAAACAAACAAACAAAACCCAGCAAATTACCTGAATGCAACTTCATTGAACAGGGATTTGTTAATCACACATTTGACTAGGTGTTCTGGTCCCTCAGCATTGGGCTAGTGTGGCACTGGTATTGGCTTTTGCAGTCTGAGCCAGGTCAAGACCTAAAGCCAGGGGAAGAAAGTATACATGTCCAGAGTCACATGACTTGATCACCGGGGATAGGACATAAGGATGTGCCACCCAGGCAACAGCCATGATTATTCGTCTATCTGCTTTTACTCAGCTGACACATGGCAATGCATGGAGCAAATATGGACACAGAAATGGGCATTTTTTTTCCTCTTGCTAGATGTGGGGTCTGACTGTTGCCCTAGAACTCCTGGGCTCAAGGGATACTCCTGCTTCAGCCTCCTGTGTAGCTGGCATTATTAGCACACCCCATCTGTGCCTGGCTTAGCATTGCTTTTTGATGAGTCCGTGGTCTAGTGAATGGTAGTGATATGCAAACCAAAGCTGCAGTATGTCTTGGGAGACTGCACTTGTAGAAAGATGGGAAGTCTTGCTGAACTGTGCATTGTGGCATGCATCTCTACCATTATTCATTATTTTCACCTCTCAGGGTGACATTTCTGACAATACAGTATATTGTTGGAGTTCGTTTTTCTTTGTTGATAAAAGTATTACAGTAATCAAAGAATTCCTTGCAGGACTTTTGCAACCCTCAAGGAAAGGTGATACAGCACAGACCCTGCTTTGATAGATTGCAGGGGACAGGGAGGTGGGAGCTCTCCTTCCATGTGTTCTGGCTCTGCTGTTTGTTTGTGTAACCATGAAAGAATACTGAGTCTGCTTTTTGTGAAGATAACTTGGCCCATCCCATCATGCAGAGTGTTAGGTGAATTAATGAGTGGAAGGCAAATAATAATATGTGGCACTTCTGTAGTGTTGCCATCTGGAAACTTGCATTTATTAAGACGCACAGCCAATTTTGGGTGATACTGAGTACATTGTGAATTTAGAATGGTTTAGGTTTTCATTTGGCTAAAATCTAGAAGGTTAAATGACCCAAGCATTGTATGCACATATGAATAATAAAATAATTAAAAATTAAAAAAATAAAAAAAATCTAGAAGGCTGTAGACTAATAGAGTAATAATGATGGCTTTTCTTAAGGTGCCCTGGACAGTCTCAGAAGCACTCTAACCAGGAGGTAAAAGGTGGGAATTCTTACTCTATTTCATAGCAATGATGTGGAAACAGGTAGCCTGCCAGGGTCCTAAAGCTGCCCCAGCTGGTGGACTGGCTTAAGCAGTAGAGTTCCTGCGTAGCAAGTGTGAGACCCAGAACTGCCAAAAAAAAAAAAAAAAAACCCAAAAAATAACCTGGCTTCTTTTGAAACAAGAAGTTTAATCCCCTGTCTATGGCTTTGGCTCTTACTTTGCCACCAGTCATTGTGGTTGCTAGACTCCCCAAGCCCTGATGAATCTTGGCCATTTTATTGTCCCAGCTCTGGTCACCTAGAGGTCACGTTTTCCTGAAGGCCCCTAAAATCGAAGCCTCAAAGATGTCAAAGCACACAGGTAACTCGGTCTAGGAACCTGCTGCACACTATTGAGTTTGGAGCCCAGGTGGTATTAAGGCCAATGACCCTTCACTCTCCAGGAGAACCCTTTGCCACCCTTCTTAGTACTATAGCAGAATGAGACTGGCTTATTTTCCCAAGACAGCCAGGAGCCTCTGCAAGGTGTGTGCCATGTTTCCCTTCAGTTCAGAGATCTATTTCACTTCCCAAAAGAGAGCATAGAGAGACTGGAGAAAAGGGCACCTTAGGAAAAGCCATTATTATTGTTATTCTATTAGTCTGCAGCTTCCTAGGTTTTAGGCAGTAAAAATTT